TAAATGAGATTTTAGACGAGACGGAGGAAACGACGTTGTCAGTTCACGTCGTCGTTAATAATTAACAGAAGAATGCAACCCGTACTACACTTTCAGTAAGAGATTTGGGTTTAACGAGTCATTAGATATTTAACGATCGTTGTTGCAACTTTTTTTTTATTATCGATTTTTTCTTAGACATTTTACATTTTTCTAGGCATTTTATTTTCCTATTTCCCTGCTATATGAATTATCCTCCTTTTCAGGGTGAACGTTGTTGCAACCCGCTAATAAAGTCTTAAATATTACCACTAGCTCCCCCCTCCTCCATTCTCAACCTTTGGATGTAATTAAAAAATAATGTACGAGACACGAATGAAAAGTGTTTTTTTTTCACTTCTACAAGTTGCCCGAAAAACTCAAACTTTTCGCCTTTGTAACATAAACTACTCTTTACTGCCACTGGAATAACAATAGTTAAAATAAAAATAATAATCTTGAATTTGTATTCTACTGGACGTTGTTCATGTCTATGTGCAGGAATTAAAAGTATTTTTGTGGTTTAGAACAAAAATAACATAATATGTAAACAATACAAAACAAATAAATAATTTATTTATAATAATAAATTAAAAATGAAAGATGGCCAAATAAGGATTTCTGTCTAATTCGGGAGTTACGTACATAATTGTCTATATAGGGAAACTTAATCAACTTTTTGTCAATATTATGTAAATGTAACGTAAACAGAAGAGGGACAAGAACATCGCCTTGTGGTATTCCAATATGAACTAATGCTTACGATAATTGATCTTTGAATTATATTTATAATCGTAAAACGGTTTACACTGTGTTTAGAAATTTAATATTTTATTATATTTTATAGAAGGTGGTAAAAATTTAAATAAATGTAAATACCCCACGCTCAAGGTATCTTTTTTGTGGGTTTGTATTTATTTAGCATAACTACCAAAACTCACATAATTAAATATTTACATATATTTTTTTTAGTACATTTTATTTATAATTATTTTAGTTCTTTTTAATTTGCTTTAAATTATAGAGAATAGCAATCATTCAAGTTTTATAAATTTCTTAATACATTCAGAATACATTTGTAGAATTTCTTATAGAAAAGAAATATTAATCCCATTACGTGGATATTGCGCAACATATTGTTCTTGGAACAATAAAATCTAAAGCGTTTAATTATCAGAATTAAAAACTGATATTAGCATGCCCGGTTTCGCTATTATCATCTTCCTCTTCAATTTTATTGAATTGCTGGCTGCACCGCATTGAAATCGTTAGATATATCTTTACAATGTGTCTTCCCACGGATTGAAATTGTACCTACTTAAACGTTGACTGGATAAAAACGTAGGTTTATTTAAATGTATTTATTTTATCGTAGAGATGTTGAATTAAAAAACGTGTTGTAGGCATTAAATGGCGTTTATACAAAACTACGACATACCCAAACACATTTTCCTGGTTTACTATAGGATCTTTCAGTTTTGTGTCAGGCTATAAATAAAATTTGGCAGTGCTTTTATTTTTTGACAAAGCGACTCAACCAGGGATCTTTGTTAAAAAATGTCAATCCATTGTTTAAATGACCAATAATTAAACTACATTTCCTGGGCCGCTTTTTCGAGAAAAACTCTAATCACGCACTTCCAAGCATTTATTTATCATTTATTTCTCTCTCAATAGAAATTCATCTTAGTAACCTTTGAAGAAAGTTTCCTCAAAAAATTAAAATCTAATCTTCTTAATGTAGAAAATAACATAATTAACCCTTTTTTTTTGAAACCCCCCACTTCCTCCATTTTTTTTCTATTCCCTTTTGGGTACATTATGCATTCAAAGATAAAAAATCCATTGGTATTGAACGTTTATTGAAAAATTTTGCGTAACAAAAAAAATTATTCATTCATGAAACCGCACGAAACAATTTTTTTTTATTAAAGCATAGATGAACTTTTGGCATTTCACACGATATTTTCCTTTGCATCCAAGTAGATTACACCTTTCCCTTTCAACTGTCCATTCTGGCTAATGAGCTATACTATCAGTCTGTACAATATTTAATGAATTTACAGCCATTTTTATACCAGAAAACTCATAATATTATTTAGATTAATTTTTTCTATTAATTACCATTATATTTCCCTACACTAAAAACTTTCTTAGAAATATTATGATTTCTCACTCATAATGAATATAATTTCGAAAAGCGAGAAATTCTCCACAAGGTCCATCAAACCAATTTGCAATATTGTAAAAGGTGGGTAAGCATTAGAAATGTAAAAAAAAATTACATGAATTTTAAATGGTAAAACTTTAAATTTAAATAGTAAGTACTTAAAATTGATATTAAGAGCTCAAACTTGGTGAGAATTTTTCTTTCTATATGTAATATTTTGCTTGAGCACCGAAAAAAAAAAAAAGAAAATTTTACGGAAATGAATCACCCTACCTTGTTTTCCCGAGAACAATTCGAAATTATAAGACATGCCAGAAATTCCCTAAGAACCCACATCTTGTAACCCCATTTATGGGGCTTCTTAGGGTTATGTTTTTATGTTTATTCTATCCTTGAATGGAATTATTTGTTCATCACATGACATGTGTTCTTCGAAAGGTAAAGCCAAACAAGCTTTCCTAATAGTTTCTATTACTGGTATAATTTTATCCAAGTTACTTTTATTTTCTGTATTGTCGCTAAAGTGTAAGAAACTTTTGATCAATTCGAAACGATTCACTGACATGACATCGGAAATTTGTGAAATCCTGATTTGTGGAGACCAAAAGTGTCTAGTAGTGGGTTGTCTAATTATTGACATCCATAGAATTACTCCTATAAATCTTTGAATTTCCTCAAGACCTAAACATATATACACGTCTGGCGAATGACTTCAGTCAAAAATTCTTCTGACAAAAAGTAAGAAAACACCTTGTATGGAGTATTCAATTTCAAAATTTCTTCATGAAGTACCTCACTTCCTAGAAATTCAGAATTGACTTCAATTCTTTCAGTCATTGATTTTTTTCCAATTGATCTTGGGTTTAGTAGCTGCCGGTTGTCTTTTAGGAAGTTCTTGGGTTCTTCGAGGTGCTTCATTCGAGATGCTTAGGTTTTTAAATTTTTCGGAGGATTTTCATCTTCTTCTGAAGACTTATCATCTTCTTCTGAAGGCTTATCATCTATAGAAGACTTATCATCTTCTTCAGCGGACTCATCATTTTCACAACATAAATTATTGGAGGATCCCTGTATCAATAATTCCTCCGCGTTTGTTTCTCCATCTGACAGCTCACTATCTTCACTATCAGCAGGTATTTCTCTGACTCGAAAGTTGTCTGTAGTTTTACTACGTCCATAAAATGATTTCGGGTTTATTGAAAAATTTTTCGGATTCATATTCTGAAAGAACACCGTTGTATTTACCAACAATAAATACATTCATCTATTTTAGTTTTCAATGCATATTGTTCCCGAGCGGCCACATACATTTATGGGAATATTTATCACGTAATTTTATGCGAAAGTAGCTCTTTTATTTTTAAACATACATTACATAGCTATATGAACCTAATCTACATACTTATTAGTTGAAATCTTACCTTTATCTGCCAATAACAAATAAAAATATCAAAGCATGCACAATATAACCTCACATGAACAAGTATCAACAAACAAATGCCACAAAGCGCGCGAAATTCCTTCCAAGGAGAAGCGCGCCGTTGTCAATTCATTTTGATGTGTTCCCAGAAAGGGGCATTCATGAATGTAGTGAAGCGGTATAGCATTTTAGAATCGTTAGTATTTTTTAAAGTTTGTGTTTCCTTTCGGTCACAAAATGCAATAGAGGGTTAAGAATTCCACTGCTGAAGTGATTTCGAAGAGAAATTTAACCTTTAATCTGGTATTTCTTCGTTGCTTTGCAGATCATTTCTAATTTTCTCCATTATATATTTTCATTGTTTTTTGAATAGTTTGTAGTTGGGTTCCAGAAGTCTAAAAGAAAATAGAAACGATTTGAAATTAGTTAAATGGTTTCAGCTTTATTTTCTTTTGTTTATTTACATTTATAATGACATTATGTCATTCACTTTAGACTAGCGATTGCATAATTTGAATATTAAATAATTAAAACCCCAGATAATCTGGATATTCTTGGAACTAAGTACGTGATTGTAAAAAATTGACCGCTGATATTTTAATTTACCTGACATGATTTAATATCACTTACATTTTAATTTGTATGTGCTTATCCTGCCATCATCATTTTTCTGGTACACCTTCATGAAACGTGAAGAACTTTTCATAAGGATTTATGTGCCAGAAAAGAGGTTTATTGAAAATAGATTTATTTGTTCCATTTGTTGGTAGATCAAGTACTCTTGAAAGAGGATTTTACAGTTATCATCCCACTTAAAAGGAACATTTTTCTTCAAAAGGGTAGTAAATCGAACAGTCAATGTGGAGCAGTTGGGGACAAACTTTCTATACCAAGAAACTAAGCCCACAATTCTACGTAATTCGATGGTATTCCGTGGTGGAGGTAGGTTTACAATTGCGCCAACCTTCGCAAAATCTACCATCAATCTCGCAGCATTTACTACATAACCAAGATATTTGAACTCTGGATTACAGAAGAAACATTTGTCTTGGTTTAATGTCAGACCCGCAGTGACTAACCTTTGTAGTTCCTTCTTCAGGCCTCGATGTGTTGTTCAAATGTGGAGTGCAGATTACAATATCATCTAAATCCACGAATCAAAATTTTTCTAAATCCACTTCCACAACTTGTTTAAAGAATCTCTGCCATGTAGCAGAGGCATTATGTGGACCAAAGGGCATTCTTCTAAATTGAAATAGACCGCGGGTAGAAACCACGAACGCTTTTAGGAGTTTCGAACATTCTTAAATCAACTCACATTTAAAATATACAGTTCACTTCTTCTTAAGGCTTTAATGAGTTAAGTGTATTTATTCATTTATTTTTTTACAGAAAAAAATCGACAAAAGAGGCCGAAAACTCGTAGACTACGACAGCCAACGACACAGTTTCCAAGCTCTCCAGACTAACATGAAGAAACGCGACGAAGCGAAAATCGCCAAGGGCAGAGAGGGTTTAGAAGAGGCCAAGCGAACGTACGAAATGTTAAATTCCGAATTGCACGACGAACTTCCGGCCCTGCACGATTCCAGGATCTTGTTTTTGGTCACGAATTTACAGTCGATGTTCAACGCCGAACACACTTTCCACACAGAATCCGCGAAGGTAAGTCGAACATATTTATACATATCTGATTATCATAAGGGAATACTTTTTCTTAAAAAAAATCTCTACGCATTTTGAGTAATTGACCAGTGAGCATAGTCCATCGCTAACGATAAAAAGTGCATATGTGTCGGGTGTCCAAATGAGACAGGACGCCGGCCATATTTAAGGAACCGTTCATCGTACAGACCTGAGAAATCTGTGTAAATGATTTTAAAGTTACTAACTTTGTCGCTAGAGGCCAGTGATAACTGTTTTTAAATTCCAAATTAAATTATGTTAAAAATCGTAATCTGTTCGAAATTTTAGTCAATTTTGAATGCCCTCTTTTATCTGTTTATCAATTGGTTATAATTATTACGCTATCTGGTGACGAAGTTAGAAACTTGAAAATAATTTTAAGCTATTCCTCTTCATCACTTATTTTCAATGGTTTTCCCAAAATTCTAAGACGACGCATATTTTCTTATTTGGACACCACCCGGTACACGTGTTATAAACCGCTAAAATTTTGTTAACATCGAATACATACTTTTTACAAAAGATAACGTAGGTCCATAGACAAATTATTTATAAGCAGAACCAATAAAATATTTCAAATTTAATCAAAATAATGTTTGTGTCAAGCCAAAAAATTACTTATGAGAGTTATGAGACCCTCAGCATTGCATTTGTGACCACGAGAAACATTTACGCCTAGTTTTCTCTACGTTTCCTTACACCCCGAGGCCGAAAACGCAAAAAAATCTCGTCTGGTTGTCTGTGCGTGCGTACTTTTGTAGGTGTCTCGATTGTGTTTTGTTTTTGAAATACATGTATATGTATATATTAAAACGTGTAGTAGTTATATTGTGTTCAAAAACGAACGTCAATATTTTAGCCGTGAAATTCTGAAATTTAATTAGTAGGAATATTCTGCTTTTTTTCTCGATCAGCCTTAATGCCGGACGTGAAATTAAATTAAACTTATTTCAAACTAATCGAACATGAAAAAAATAAAACTTTTAGTGTCTGGTTCTAGGCCCATACACACCTATTCCAGTTCCTTTTGTGGTTTTGGAACCATCGGTATATCACTGAACTGCATGCTATTCGGTTGGAAACATGGATTCTTGGATTAATTTTTTCTTGCAGCTCGGTGGTTTTCAAGTTTTTTACAAAACTACTTTTTTCTCTTTTCGTCCTGGGGCATATCTCAAGTATCTTCGGTTCTAATAGACCCGTCTGATTACTATGTTCCTGTTATATCTTGTCTTCTTTGCCACGTTGTTTATCATTAAACGTAGAGATAACCTCCATTGTAGCCATAGGCCATGTTCTCATTGCAAATACAGGTTAGTGCTTGTATTTTTGAGATATTAGCTCTCGTAGTAGCTAAACTAGTTCTGTTACTCCAGGCTACAGTCCCGCAAGTGATGATTGGCTACACTATTACTGTATACATCCATCGCAGAGTTTTCGGATTACATCCCCATCAATAACCCGCAATGTTCCTGCATACCATTAGGGCTTTTATGGCGTTATTAAATACTTCCTTATCATATATAATATTTTCCATGGTTAGGCATAGATATTTGACTTTTTTTTATCATTCACTATGCCGGTTAATTTTACAGTTTCGAGATATAGTTTTCTTTTCCTTGAAAAGACTACTATTATTGTTTTGGTTGGGTTTATACAAAATAAAACAACTATTCATATGAAATTGTACTACGGTCAATAACGTATCCTTGTTCAAATAAAACATAATAAAATTGTCATACTTCTGAAATATCTTCTAGTACAATAATTTTTCTTGGCTGGCAACTACAATCTAAGATCTGTTTAAAGTTAGGTACTTTATATTGTGACGCGAAGCGGACTCTGTTGTTTGTTTACTTACTTGCCCGCGGTATGAAGTCTAACGCTGGCCATATAGAGATAAACGCACTGCTTCCCGGACGTTCTAGATCGCGGAGAGTGTTCTGGGGAAGAGTTGGCTTTATATAAATAGCGTGAGTTTGTCGATGGATGGGAAGTTTCAATTTAAGTGTTGTATAGAAAAGATAAATTATAATAAATAAATTACAATCGTGAGTTATAATAGTGCCTAAGTATTATATAAATTATAAATAAACTCTTTCTAATAAATAAACAATTAAACAATCGTTACAATATCATTGCCATAAGAGCACATTTCTTGATAGAACTCAGTCATCGCTTAATTTGGATGGTTTTTCTATAAAAGAATACCGTTTAACATAATAAAGTTCCCCCGACACACTCGGATATAATTAAATTTTGTCTGTAAAATCTCTTCTGATGACATTGTATCCATTTATGCAATTTTTTTGTTTTTGAAACTTCGATAATGTCTCTTGTAGGAAACAATGCATAGTACTTAAGAGTTGGGTATAAAACACATGACTATTCTGTAGACACTGAAACAAAAACAAAATATAAATTTCAGTCGTAATTTGCAAATAAACAAAGAACATAACCTCTAAAATAATAAATGTTTTATCTGGAGACCTTTTTCGGTAACAATCGTTGAATTGACACACATACTTTCAATTTATTAAAGTCGCTGTTTTATTTATACATAATTTTTTAATAAACAATTAAAATAGTCTTATGGGTATTTTTAGAGTTTAACAGGTAGATTGGAAACATGGAGATATATTGAAGTAGAGACGACATAAACAGTAGTTTTCCATATGACAAGTGGACGCAATTTGAGTTGTATTTTGATTAATTTGAAGTTAATAATTTTGTATTTCAAGATTGACGAAATGAAAATGTTTTTATATCATTTATATCGCGCTATTTTAAAAAATGGCATTTATTCTCACCAAAACTGATAAGCTCGCTAGCTCGAGTTTGACATATAACGTAAAAGTATAATGCAAAAATGCGGACACTTTTAGTATCGTCTTGGTATCTCTTCTTTATTCTATCTCAATGATTGGAAAGGTTCGTATGCCACGCCCTACGTTGTGACGTTACGCCTGGTTTATGTGCGATCAACAAAATAGCGTGGTTTTAGGTAGTCACGTTGTTTGTTTAACCTGGTTTCACGGATCTATTGACTTCTCTTTTTAACTACAGAAATTTGCGGAAACGACTGGTCACTTTGGTCCTCAATCGGCATTGTAAACCGACAGAGAAGCAGCGAGTCAGAGCGCAGTGGCGTACCTAAAAAAAATAGTGATTAACATGTATGAAAATAATAAAAATATTAAAATTTATATTTTTGTTATTTATGTGATTTTAAAATAATATGTTTTTATGAAATTTAACTGGGTGTTCACTGCACAAATGAACCAATGGAGAAACCACCCCTGGTACCTACGTATTTGGTGTATGAGGCACTACAATGCCGCCACGATTAACCTTGAACGAAAGCTCGCATCGACCTACTTTTTTTCCTGTACTTGATAATTTCTTCCAACTATGATGCAAAAGGGATGTAAAATTTTCCGTCTACATTGTTTAAAAGATATAACAATTTTTTGGTTTGTCTCGTAGATTATTTTCATGTATTATATGTTCATGCCTACAGGATATCCTTCATTAATATTTTTGTAGGTGTTTGGAGAGTTGGAAGCGATCGTCGATAAACTAGCTACAGACAGTCAACGAGGATCGTATAGTGTTAAGAAAACAAACGGAGCAAGTCTTCCACGCCCCACCAGCCTTACTAAAAATAAGGAATTAATTATCAACAATACTTCCAATCTCAATTCGAACAGAAGTGAGTACCTAAATAGATATTATACAATGTGTGTGACGTTTTTGTGTACCGATGCACTCAAATCAATACCCTCGTATGTCTGAATTGGATATAAACATGAACGAAGCTTTTTGGATAGGATACTAAGACCAAATTTAATAATACAAAATATTAATAAATTATTTTTAATTCATCAAAATAAAAATTATTAAAATTGGGCTACAATATTGATTTGAGATCGTCTAATTTTTTTATTTAATAATAACTATAATTTTATTTAATTAATAACAGAACTATCATTTTATTAATTCGCATATGTATATACTTAATTTAATAAATTTAATAAACAATTACTGTATCAGGTGGATTAAAAAAAAAGTTCTTTTTTCCACTTTTTTGATACAAATTTTTTTTTTTTTTTCAAACTTGATCTAGTTTGCATTTAATGTTTCTATGCTGAGATCAGAAATATACAGGGTTGGGCAAAATTCATGGAACACTAAATTTCTAGTTTCATTCGCAAATTAACTAAAAAATTCGCGGACATGTCGATTTTATTTTTTAGATGCGCATTTTTTGGTGTACGTATATTTTTTTATGGCGTCGTCATTATTCCAGATAAATAAATATATAAATCTAAAAGTTGGATCGGAGTTAATGCTTTTAATTTTTAATACAGGAGAAATAGCTAATTGGTCTACAATTAACAATTTTTTCTGCTTCAATTAAAAACGTTGTTAAAATTTCTTCAGTTGGGTTTTGTTCTTTCAAAAGTGTATAAAAGTACTTCTTTCACTAACCACACCATTCTTTCGCAAACTCCTCCAGTATGTCCAGCTCTAGGAGTGTTGAAAATCCACTTCATGTTATTTTTGTACTTGTTTCCGCGGTTAGTTTGCTCTGATCCAATTTTTCTATACATTTCATTTTATTTTCTGGCCCTAAAAAATTTGTTCCATTATCTGAATTCATCTCTATAGGTTGTCCTATTCGTGCAATAAATCTTCTAATTACCATTATTGTAGAATCGGTATTTAGGGAGTTTGCTCTTGTATTTAAACAAGTAAATAGTGCTACATATCTTTTTCCTCTATTTCTTTTCACCTTAACCGATAATGTTCCAAAATAATCCTACCCACAGTAAGTAAATGGTCTACAGAAGTTCTTTAATCTATTTATGGTAATGGAAACATTTTTGGCTGAAGGGATTTTGCTTTATATATTTTATAATGTACTACAATGTTATACCGTGGTAACCAACCTCTGTTTATGGTTATTAAGTTAGTCATAACGGGCTAGCCCGGTAAAAATGTTAACAATAGTTATGACTGAACTGCCAGTTTTAAGTGAACTGTCATTATTTTAAGTCACATTCGAAAACTTGTAATGATGGTGTCAAATGATAAAATTTTATTTGATTTTAGGTTGTAAAACGTATTAAATTGCATATCATAATACGTTGTACGATACACGCCCGTTACCTGATCTCTACGTGCTCGCACGGTCATAGAACGCACATTAACGACCGTGCTCCCATGTAAAGATCTAGGTAACGGGCTTATAACGTAAACTACTATTACAGTCTTGACAATTAAGAATAATAAATTTTACAGTTTGTCTCATTTTTATTATCCAAAATTTTTATTTTAAGTTGTTTAGAGCTGTTTTATGACCAATATCTTCTCCTCTTTCGTGATAGTACTGAACATTCGTACTGCTTGATCCTCCTTCGCTGGTAAAATAATTGGAAATTTTAAAGCATATTCCAATTCTACTGTCCATTCTTAGCACACCATGACTGCCATTTTTTCAATTTTCTAATATGTTTCTCAACCATAGAATTTCTGCATTCTGAATTTCTTCGAACGTTAGTTCTCCGCTTCGTTTATTTTTTGTTCTTAAGTTGACTACATATCTTATTATTTATCCATGCTGTACATCGTAATAACCTCAACCATTGTTAAAATCTTTCGACCTTTGCAAGAGAATCTACTTTTTGTATACTTTCCTTGTCCACTTCAATAATTAGCACATTTTCTATATGTCGTTCCGCTTGTGGCCAACTCTTTACATTGTTTCAAAATGCTGGACCTTGAAACAAAAACGAGTTAGTTGTAAGATCAGGCTCATTTATAGGCTTACTAAGCCAGATCAGCAGAATTCAGATAAAAAGGAATCTATTTCCGATTGTTTATATTTATTGTTTTTACAATCTCTTGAATACGGTGACTTTCAAATATCTTTAATCTGGTGCTGGACCTCATCCAACATATAACAATTTTTACGTCTGTCTACCAGATAGTCTTGGAAAATGTATAATTTGTCTCGTTTTGTATTACATTTCCATACATTGCAGCTATTATTGTCCCCTAAAGTTCCGTTCTTGGAACTAACAGTTTCTTATTCATGTGTCCGAATGTACATTTGAATGCCACAAATAAGACCTCAAACTCATAGACTCTAACCGATAGTAGAGTACTACTAACGTTTTTCATGAAGAAAGTACTGACGAGGAATTTTAAAGCATCCTAGTTTTTTCAGATTTTCAAGCCACTTTCTCTATTTATTTAAAGTATCTTCCGAAACCTTTTGGTCCTATTCTATTGATTGCTTCCAACACTGTTGCATTGTGAGCCATACGGTGAATACTAAAGGTGATAGAAACCCAATGGGATCAAAAAGGATCATTACAATTCGGAGAACCACTCTTTTTGTTGGTAGGTGCCTTTGTGTCGGCTAATAAATCTGCTATGAGCTTCGAATCTTTTGAATTAGGTCGTAGATCCATTCCTGCTGTTTCGTTAGGCAAGCTTTTCCCACATCTCACCTACATTCGACATTATTTTGCTGCTTTTTATAACTCGAAGGATCAGTTGTACGCTCCATCCTTGTACATCTAGTAGAGGTACAAGATTATTCTGTATCTTTTTTTAATAAAAAAATTTAAACCTTGCTGATAATATATTTTTTCTACGATTACTATCGAAAGTAGGCTTTTGCGCCTTGAAAAGTAACTGAAACTCAAACTTCGTCTTCGTGTGATATGACCATTCATATCCACTCTTGTTGCACAAACTCCTATTATTTCGTTTCAAATCTGTTCAATCAATTGGGTTTTGATTTGTTGAACCAAGCGGTTTCTGTTCAAATTTCGGTTACGGTTCGAAGAAAACAGGCACTTTACAGTTTTGGCTTCGGTTCGGCTAACAGATCTGATCAAATTATACGCATCTAAAAAATAAAATTCGAACATGTTTTTGTTACTTATCCAATCCATATCTAGACTGAGTTGCTTATTTTGTACAAGCCTACAAAATATAGTTTTTATAATACATTAATTAGTTCTAATAATTTTCATTATTTTTTTTATAATTTCTACCCAGTGCTCTATAACAAATTAAAAAACTGCACGAAACATTTTCGTATTATTACTGAATGTAATGTTAAAAGCGTAGAAAAACATAGACACGGTTTTAGAACTGTATAATACTTCAACCTTGAAGATTTACCTAATTTACTAAAATCTTTTGTACACAATAAAATTACATAATACAACATCACAATTTCTATTGAGATATGATAGTTCAGTTAAAAACCCATTGTTAATGGAATAATACATTTTCTAATGGTTCAATTTTCATTTCAGTCATTTTTAATTTCAAAAATAAATCTTTTTTTTAAGTTATTGCAAAAATATTTAAATGCTTTTTAATAATATTATTTATGTGTAAATATTTGGATTACAGTTCAGAATCAGTTATACATTTCATCATATTGAAAACATTAAATTCTTGAAAGGCTATGTTTTATTTAAAACACTATGTTGTGTAGCACTTTTTAATGACTTGGATTTTTTTCTAATAATGATAAATATTTTGGTTTGTCTTCGGTAATTTCCGAATCATCGTTTGTTTAAATTGCTAGAACTTGCTCATAACTTTTTCAAAACTTTTCTATAAAACGAATAATAAAAAAAGTTTTCCATATGTAACCAACTCAGATAGACACGGTGTATATTATTATAGTTCTCTTTTGGCTCACAATCCTGCGTAGCATACTCTCAAAATAAAAGCCATATCAACCACTGTAAATGGGTTGACTACTATCATTTTCTTTAATCTTGTTTAGCCTCTTCCAAAAAATGTTGATCTGTGATCTGTTAAAAATTAGTATTCCATTTTAACATTTATAATGACCAAATTAGATTTAATCTCAATCTTCACTCATTTCTGTCTTAACATAATAACTCTGCTACAATAATTCCTCATTTCTATTCTTCTTGGTTAGTTAGTATATTTTCAATCTTCTTCGGTTTCTTTGAGGATTTACTTGCTTGTTTCTCGCCTTTCTACAGTGTTTATGTATTAGTACTAGTACGTACTACTTTCTTACACTATTTATACCCCAAACACTCATTTTACAAGTATTTTATTCATGTTTCACTACGCCTTTTTTTATTAAACTCTGTACTACTTGCATCACCGAGTTGTGCTTACTTTCTTAATACACTTGAATTAAATAGATAATACATTAATATTAAATAAACCACCACACCTTGTCTATTGAAATTCTGAATGTGCAAAGAAATTTTTTCGATTATCGGGACAGCTCGACAAGTTGTTAAGTAATAAACACTATTGTTCCAGCTTTTATAATCGTTTTTGAATAAAGAAATTTTAATTTTTACAAATATGTTAGAAAGAAATTCATATTAGTTTATTGAATTTTGTTTGTGTTCTATGATGATAATTAAATCAGACCAATTAAAAATCATTTATGCCGTTTTTTAGCACCTGACTTTCCAAATGTCAATTTTCTGCAACATAACCTGTATAATTCATAAAGTGTTGACAATATTATTGAACTAAGACCTATCTCTTTTACAAACAAACAAGACATGTATTTTAATTTTTATAACAAATTTTTAATCACAATTGTAAAAAATATTGCTGTTTATGAACTGTATTTCAAAACCAAAAAGAATCAAAATACTTAACATGTTTAATATGGTTTGCTGTGTTCTAACAAAGCCCTGTGTGTTTTTGCAGCCGAAGAACCCGCGCAATCTCCTTCCAAAAAACTATCCCTCACCAAATCCGAATCAACGGAAAAAACACCCCCCTCCACGCCTACCAAACCAGACAGTAAACAAGTCACGCCCTCGACAGACAAATCCTCTCCCACGACCCAAGAGAACCTTACCCCCACGACCCCAGAAAAACTTTTTCCTAGCACCCCGACGAGTACCACAGGCGTCACGAAACCGGAAGTGAACGGCACGACCACGCCAGACGGTACTCGTTCCCCCTCCCCCTCCCACACCACACAGCCAGTAAATGACAAGTCCGCTACTAACAACAATGCAAACAATAAAAAAGTTGAGGAGCTTTACGATATACCAGTAGGTGAGTAAAAGTTTTTTTTATACTAAAAATTTATTAATTGCATGATAATTACTTTTTAATAAATATTCTTTTAAATACATAAGAAATTCTTAGAGAAACTTAAAAAGTACAAATTAAGTGCCGAATAAATATTTTGTTTGCTGATTATTTTATTGAAATATCGTTTGTTAAAATTAAAATGTGTACTTCCAGAAGCTCGTATGCCCGTTTCATTGCGTTGGGTGGGGCTATAAGTAGTACTGGGCGGGGCCATACACAGTATTGGACGGGGCTAAGGATAATTTCCTGACCGCAGTAGAATTTTATAGAATAATTTTTAAAAACAATGAAGCGGTGGCAGCTTGTGGTAATTTAAAACGGGTGTTTACTTTTTCCAATAATTTTATCTTTTGTAAGTTCGGTTCAAAACCTTGTACAAGTGTACTGTTTTCAAACACTACAACTATTAATGAATGAATAAATGAATATTTTATTATTGTAATATTTGTTTTTAATACGTTGAAAACCATAAACATTATTAGTTAGTCAACTGACTTTTATTCATATTTTGAGATTATTTTTAAATGTAGAAAGCTTGACATTGATTTTTGTGTAAAAAAATAAAATTACATGAAACTTTACCTACCATTTTTCAGTTTTTATTTTAAATTTAATCATTTTCACTATTTGTCACACATGTTAAATAAAATAATATTTTTTTTAAATACCCTTTATTGGCAAAAAACAAGTGAACTAAAATGTGTATTTTATAAATTCAGTCCCATCACAATACATAATATTACACAGATACAAACTAGAATGAAGATATATAATGCGTGGCACTCTAAATTATAATTTTCACAGTTTAACAACCCCCTTAACCTCCATTTTCAATCAGATTATTTTCAGAATCAATAGGCTTCATCCCCTTGTAGAGCTTGATTTTTGCAAAAATTTCAAATTGATATTATTGTTTGTTTTTAAGTTAAATTTATTTTAAATATTTCAACCCACCTTAACCCCCCCTCACTTGTATTCATTTTTTTTCACAATAAATAGGCCTCATCTCCTTATAGAGCTTGATTTCTACTAAAAATTTCATGTTGATATCGCATTTCATTTTCTATTTATGATTCTTTTTTAATTTCAACCCTCCTTAAACCCCCATTTTTAATGAATTTTTTTTTTCAAAATTAAAGGGCTTTTTCACCTTATAGAGCTTGATATTTGCTAAAAATTTCAAGTTAATATCATTTTTCGTTTTTAAGTTGAGATTTTTTTTATATTTTAACCCTCCCTAACTCCCCTATTTATTCAGATTTTTTTTTTCAAAATCAATGGTCTAGTACTTTATCTCTTCTTATAGAGTTTCATTTTTAGTAAACATTTCATGTTGATATCGCTTTTCTTTTTTAATTTAGGATTTTTTTTATTTCAACTCATCCTAACCCCCTCTGTATCTGTAACGTGTGGAAGGTGGGTTACCCCCACGGCACTTAGGCCTCATTAGGCCCATTGTGCATCCTCCTAAGATGATAGGCACCTCCTAGCTCGTCAGCCAGCCTACATATTTAATGTAGTTGACAACGTCGCCAAGAGGTGCTTCTCTTATATCGGCCGGTATTAGCCGATACTCGCCGAACACAAATCTTCTAATAAATGAGAGTGTCGGGCAATCGTAAAGGATATGCTCGATGGTCTCATCTTCTTGTTCGCACCCTCTGCAGAGTGCGGATTCTGACAGCCCCATGATATGGAGATGCTTCCGTACTTGGCAATGACCAGTCAGAATGCCTGTGACCAGACGCAGATTCTGTCTAGTCATAGTCAAGTATTTGTTTGCTGCAGTATTGTCAGGATAACTTAAGAGTTCCCTGGCAACTCTGCAGTTTCTTGTTTCATCCCTTCTTTCCTTGAATTTCTTTAATTAGGTCTGTCACTACCGATTTTGTCAGGCCAATAGAAGGGCCAGGTCCAAAAGTATTTGGTTGGCTGCTTTCTTGGCTAGTGAATCGGCAAGACGGTTACCTTTCGATGTGGCGTGACCTTTGATCCATCTTAAGGTGACCACATTGTTGATGGATACTTCGGCCAAAGCTTCATGACATTCTAGACCCTGAATAAATTCGTGGTCTGTTCAGGGTGAGTAGTGCTTGTCTGCTATCTGTATAGATGAGCATGTTCCTTCCAGTGATATTATTTCTGGTTATTTCTTTTGCTGCTATGAGAATCCCCGTTAGCTCTAACCATTTGTGGAACATTCCTGTTGGTTAGTGAGTGTATTATCTTTGGGAAGGTGGTTTTATCAAAAGCACCTTCTATGTCTATGAAAACACCCAAGGCGGACTCCTTATTGTCCAGGGATCTTTCTATCCGGCCAGCAACTAGATGAAGGGCTGAATCAGTAGATTTGCCTGGGGTGTATGCATGTTGGTTTGGGTATAGTGGTGTTGTTGTAGTCACCGCATCCCTTATGTACCTTTTGCATAGTCTTTCCAATGTCTTCATGGAAAACGATGTCAGACTAATTGGTCGGTATGTTTTTGGGACAGTGTAATCCATCCTTCCAGGTTTGGGTATAAATACCACTTTTACCTCTCTCCATTTTTTAGGAATATACCTCAGAGCCAACGAGGATCTGAATATACCCACCAGGTGCGGTGTGAGTTCTTCCAGGCCCCACTGAAGTAGGGCTGGATAGATACCGTCAGGTCCTGGCGATTTAAATGGAGAGAAGCTGGATATTGCCCATCTAATTTTTTCATCGTCTACAATGTGTTTGGCAGTTTGCCAATCATAGACAGATGAATTGTATTATTCCTCTACCTAGTCGGCCACGTCTGTGATGACCGAGTCAGGAAAGTGTATTGACAGCAGAAGTTTGATGCTATCTTCGAGATTGGCAATTTTCGTGCCATCCTCTTTGATTAGCGTACCAATGCTTCGGTGTGGATCTTTTGAGAGAGCTTTTTGAAGCCTCGCTGCCTGCGGGAAATCTTCGATTTCTTCGCAGTAGTATCTCCATGCATCTCTCTGTTTTTGTCTGACGATTTTTTTGTAGATTTTTTTGTATTCTCTGAGGTGAGATTTGTATCTCAGTCCTCTTTGAGTTTTGTGGTTCTTTCCTTATTAAAGGATTTCCTAGCCATCTTCCTGAGGTGATCCAACTCGTGACACCACCATGCGGTAGTCGTCTGATCGTGTTGGAATAGCCTCAGGGGACAGGATTTCTTATAGCCATTGTTTATTGTGCTTTGGATAGTGTTTGAGTACTTCTCCAAAGCATTGTTATTGTTTGGTGTTTCGGCCTCCATCCCTCTCAGAGCTTCTTGGAGAAGGTGGGCATAGATTGCCCTGTCCGTCTTCCTAGGGTTCCGAGATAGCGTGGAGGTCGGCAACATCAAGTTTATTTTGAATGTTAACCAGCGGTGGTCTGACATCGAAATGTTGTCAGACACTTGCCAGTTTAGAATTGATTTATAGATACCAGTTGTGGATAAAGTGATATCTATTAGTGTTTGACTCTGAGTGTTTAGAAATGTTGGTATAGTACCTTTATTTAAAATGCAAAGATTTTTGGTAATTATATAATCATAAAGTGACTTACCTCTAGCATTATTATCCTTACTGCCCCAATTGAAGTGATGAGCGTTTGAGTCGCAACCTATTACCAGCTCAAATTTCTGTTCTAGGCAGTATGCAATCAGATCCTCCATTTCTTTGCTGGGTGGTGGCGTGGTTGCATCGGAAGGGAGGTATGCAGATGCCAGGATTAACGTTTTCTTTTCCCTTTTGATGGCGTATTCCATCCTAACCGCAGTTAAATCGGAGGTGGAAAGGTGCGTCATTGAGTAGGCTTTGTATTTCCTAGAAATGTAAATGGCTGTCCTAGGTTGTTGGTTGCTGGGAAAGCTAAAAATTGAACCATTTAGATTTTTAAGACCTATAATTTTGGTTTTTATTATCCAGGGTTCCTGGATGAGTGTTATTGTATCTTGAAGCTCATCAAGACGGCGGCATAATGTTGCCGTAGCCACCCTTTTGTGCTGCAAGTTACATTGTATGATAGTTACCTCTTTTATTGCTTCCCGGTCTTCCGTTAAAAATTGGACAGCAAGGTGGTTTTTTATTCGACCATCCCTTCCTCCGAAAGTGGGGAGGGGGTGGTCTCCTGTGGCTCCTCGGAGTTCTCATGCTGGAGGTCATCGATTACCATTTTTTCTGGCTCGACGTCCTATACTGTTGGCTTGAATTGGGGGGGAAGAGGGTCCATTACCAAGGAGTCTTCACTGGGCCCCGCTTCAGCCTCTTTTTCGACCTTTGGCCTTATAGTCAATGAGGTGAACGCATAGCTCATCCTCATTGATTTGGCCTTTAGGGTTCCCATGTCTTCGTCTCCGATGCCGAAGACAAAGAGATGGCCCTTGGGGTCTTTTTTTATTTCATGGTGGATGGTGCACCACTTCGCCACATGTAAGTTTGGGTTTTGCCACAACCTCCTTCTCGTCAAGGTCAGCTTGCGCTTCCCCTGGGATCCAGAGAGAGGCTTTGGTGAGCTTGGGGAGCTCGTCCATCCTCACAACAGCGAGTGTCGCTCCTTCCCATGTTTTTAAGGTTGGTACCTTGGCTTTTAGCCATTCCAACGTCAGGTCATCGTCGCACGTTACTCTGATGATTTCATCAGAGTGCGTCCAAGACCTGAAGGTGGGTGGCTTGGTTTTGCTGCAGGAGGCGGACAAAATTGTTTTGTCCAGCTCCCCCATCAATGTCTTTTTGACAAATATTTCACTTTCGGTAGTTATCTTGCCGTAAGGGTTATCCTTGTCTATTATAGCTACTTTCAGGTGGCTCGTAGCTGCATCCTTGTAGCTTAACCCAGACAGAACTTTGTGGTCCTGTCTGGGTTTTTTCCCCTTCCGGGGCGTAACCTCGGCACTGCCTGCCTGCAGCTTATCTCTCTTCCATCCTAACCCCCTATTTTTAATCAGATTTTTTTCATAAACAATAGGCTTTGTCCCTTT